ATCATTTAGTTGCCCCAGTTTGTTGCCGTCAGACTTGTTCTCTCCGGATACAATTTTAGCCGGCGAGTTACAGCTGCGAAAAAAAAAAAGGGTGGCCGGAAAAAAAATATGGTGATGGGAACGGGGAGGGGAAAATGGGAGAAGAGAAAAATAGGGTGACGGGAGGGGAGGGGAAAAAGTGGAGCGGAGAAGAAGCCAATTACATTAAACTAATATTATTTGTGTAATAGTTGGTGTAAGAAAAATAATAAATTATTAAAAAATGAAGTATGTTAGTGGGATGATATAATAATTTTTTTTTTTATTTATGTTAATAGGAGGGATGGAAGTTTATTAAAAGGGTAGGGAGTTAGGAAGAATTTAAAAAGTGGAAGGGAGTTAGAAGGAATTTGAAAAGAGGTTTGGGGATTTTAAAAGAAGTCACCCTAATAGTAATATAGTAATAGTAATACTAATAGTATATATCGTTTTCAGATATTGAGAAGATTCACCTATGTCGTTCCTACATAACCGCATTTTTAGTCTAATTCAAAAATATATAAAGAAAAACTAATAAACAATAAATAATAAATAATAGATCATAAGTGAACACCTGTATTCGGTTGGAATTAGATTACACTCTCTATCGTGTTCAGCAGTTAAGAAGTACTCGCACTCTATCGTGCAGTTAAGGAAGAGTCAGCACTCTCTATCGCGTTGGGCAGTTAAGAAGTCATGTTTTAATATTGTAGTAGGATTAAGTATTGAGTATTATTCAATTGTTATAAATATATACATCTACTACAGAATCATTATATCTTATTTTCACTGGAAAACACACACGAAAGCAACAAAAACAAAAACAAACAAACAAAAATCATGGCATTCACTCTCCTTAAGAATGAACATGGACAAGACTGAATGGAAACATCAAGGTTCGTGTTGTAAGATGCTACGAGCGTACAACATTTGGGGATCGCTCTACAGTTTTGGGTCTTTAATTAATACTTCATGATTCTGAGGTAAACCGATTTCAATATTCACATTGAATATAATACTTTTTTCCTTATAATTGATGGTTTTATAATTGTTTTTTTATTTGTTAATTTCAGGGGCACTGTATTCATGCTTCTATCAAGAAGTTTCATATGGAGCTTTTTAGGCGCCATCTGAAGGAAGTGTTATTCCAATCAGAGACTTCATTGTAGCTCCAAACGGTGGTAGGTATAAGACAACAATAGGAAGGTACACAATTGCTTTTCATGGCCGCACTTGGGTGGTGAGAGTATCCAAAGACAATTTTCCAAAATTCCTCTACAATTTTACGAGCTTTCTGAGTTGGCTAAAGAAACCTTTATCGACCATATTCTCATCGGTACAATTTTTATCCATTCTTACTTTAATAAATCTTTAATTCTTATTTTAATAAATGTTTTAATATTTGTTGAGTTATTTGTAGATTTATTGGACGAGTCGTCGGTATAAACAAACCGCAGACAAGGACTTTTGACAACTTAACAACACGTTTTGCCGAAATAATGTCGAGTAATTTTTATATATCTGTAACAATAAAATATTCTTGTTGCAATTGTTTTCATTTAAATTTTGATATAAAAATAACAATACAATGTATGTATTTTGTAAGTTGCTTTTCATTTAAAATATAATTTATTTTAATTTTCGTACTTAATTTTTATTTATTAGTTTTATATTTTGCAGTCCAAACAAACTATCTTGCACATTGTGGGAAGAAAAGGTGCATGAATAATGTCCTCCATACTAAACCGTGATATCGAACTTCTTGTGGTTATTTTACAGTTTTGTCGTGCCAAAGTTGTTGGAGGTAAATTTAATACTACTAATTTGTTTGTATTTAGTTTTATATTTCAAAATTTTAATTTTTAATAAAAATTTGATTTCTTTTTTAATATTTGCAGAATCAGTGAAAGTTTCAAAAACATTTGATATCACAAAGTTAATTGTCGATCAGTCTGCAGATGAGATAAAAGAGTTTGTTGCAGCGTGAGTTGTTTATACAATTCACATATCATTTATTATTTTTTAATGTTGTCAATATATGAATAATGTCATTTTTATTCTAATCGGTTATTGCGTGTTGTCTTTTTATATATTTTTTTTTTTTAACAAAATGTTGAAGTTATGGAGGATGTGCTGAAATTGCAAATTCAGTACGAGAAGTCAATGCTCCGTTGGTTATCACTGACAATGTGGAAACAAAAAACAACTTTAAATTTTCAGTCATGACTATCGACTACCATTTAGCTGAATTGATTGTTCACTACACTTATCATATGGGAAGAGGCACCAATGGTAAATAAGTTCTGCTTTATGGTTATCGATAGAACTTTGAAGTCCATTATGCAGTGATCCATCTAATGCTACAAAGCCTTTTGGTGGTAAAAACTGTTGTTTTTTGTGGAGATTTTCGACAGATCTTGCCTGTAGTGCCTAAAGGAACGAGACATGACATTGTCAATGCTACAATAAACTAACGATATGCTTACTTTTTCTAAATGGATTGGAAGAATCGAAGATGGGACCATTGGAGAATCAATTTACGGTTGTGGTAATGTAGATATTCCTTCTGATATTTTGAGACGATTGTTCATAGTACGTACCATATGTTTAAAGATACCGTTGATGATAAAAGCTATTTGAAAGACCGAGCAATACTGGCCCCAACACTTGAAGTTGTTGAATCTATAAACGAGTACATGACTTCTTTAAATACGATGGATGGTTAGACGTTTCGGAGTTCTGACACAGCATCGAAGTCGGATGGTGGTGTCACTTTTTTACATGAATTGTTGAACAACATTAAATGTCCAGGTGTTCTGAATCATGAACTGCATTTGAAAGTTGTCACTCTAGTAATGTTGATGAGGAACGTTGATCACTCAAGTGGTTTGTGCAACAGTACACATTTGATTATAACGAGGTTAGGTGGTCATGTATTGCAGTGCAGAGTTTTAACGGGTTCGAACGGTGGAGAATTGGTTCTTATACCTAGAATGAGTTTGACTCCATTGGATGTAAGAATACCTTTTAAGTTCCAAAGACGACATTTTTCTTTGATGGTTTCTTAAGCGATGGCGATAAACAAGAGTCAGGGACAGTCTCTTTCTCATGTTGGTTTATACCTAAAGAATCCCGTATTTATGCGTGGCCAACTCTTTGCCGTTGTTTCACGAGTCATAAATAGAAAAGGATTGAAGTTATTAATTTGATGAAAAAAGCTCGAGGACGAAGAACGTTGTATATAAAGAAGTATTCAATAATCTGTAATCATAATGCATAATGTATGAATTATAATTTTTCTTTATTTTTTTCGTAGGTCCTGTGCATTTGCACGAGTAACTGTATTTTTAATGAATGGTGAGATTTCAACAGATTGTAGGGTTTTGTTCCCTGTTATCACTACAAAAAAATAGAGTTCTAGTGAAGAACTTTTTTTGTCACTATATCAACAAATATCGTCACTATGTTGTCACTATATCTACTGTCCGTATATCTACAGTTGTTGTCACTATATCTACAATTATTGTCACTATATCTACAATTGTTGTAGACATAGTGACAATAATTGTAGATATAGTGACAATAAATATAGTGACAACACAGTGACAACAAAATTCTTCACTAGAACTCTATTTTCTTGTAGTGTATACAATCAAGTAACATAGGATATGTGGCGCGTGTCACTGACATAACCTTCTCGACTCTTCTACATTCCACACTTTAAAAATTAGACCGACACTATTTAGGTCATTTATTTAATTTGAAGGACGGGCTCACGTCTAAACATCGGCCCAATATCACTCTTAAAAATTTTCAAGATGGCCCAATTATTTTTGAATATTTAAATGCAGTTCAATTTGTTAATGACCTAATATCTATGATTTTTGAATTTTGTGGGCTCAAATTTTGTAAATATGGCTCAAAATTGTTTAGTTAATGTATAAAGTACAAAAAATTACTTTTACTAAAAAATAATCTAAATTTTTATAGTACAAAATTTAATCATTTAAACAACTGAAATCATAAAATCTAAATTTTTCCTCTACATAGCTTCCTTGCAAATGCACGGGTAAAACACCAGTAAAATTTAAACATATAATATTGTGTTCTGCATACAAGATAATTCTATATTATTTACAACAAACTGATAAACGTTCATATTATGTGGTGTATTCATTTGAGATTTCTAAAAGTTTTTAAAAATTTAAAAATTTTGGTGTATTTAATTTAGACTTCAAGTCTTGGAATATTTATTTGAAAATTTAAAATTGTTACAAAATTATTAAATATTTAACTTATTTGAGGCCAAAATTTGTTAGGTATTTTTAAGATTTGCTATGATTTAAAAGAAAAAAAAAACATTATAAATTCTACTCTAAATCCCCATTCACACATAAGATTTCATAGTATTTCCCTAAATCTGAATATCTTAAAAAGCCTCAAATGTCACTCAAAATCCTAAATGAATACACATTATTTAATATTGTTTATCTATATTTTTATTTATAATTATAATTTAATATTTGTTACTCGTGTATCGCACGTACCACGTGCTAATTTATGTCAAATAAGTCTTACAAATTATATGAGTCTACCACTTAAGTTTAAAGTATTAGAGAATTATGTATAAGGATAATTATTTGTGTACTTTTATTTCATGAATAAAGTAGAATCTAGAAACTAAGACAAAGTAATAAGGGTTGATTGTGATGCGCTGATGGCCAATCCACCACGTATTTGTATTTGGTGGGCTTCAATTTTCTTATCAATTTATCCTTTCTATATATAATCTAAAATAAAACTTAAAAATAATATAAAATTGAAATGAAAAATAATTATAAATCCATAAATCCAACTAATAAACCCTTTACTAGCCAACAATCCCACATCTCTCAGTACCATACTCCATCTCTCTTTCTCAGTCTCTCCCCCACACTAAAATCGTCCCCATTAATTTTTGCTTCATCTCCACGATTAATTAAATGGCGAAGGACGTCGAGGCGACGGCGGCGGAGTATTCGGCCAAAGACTATCACGATCCGCCGCCGGCGCCGCTGTTGGATTTGGATGAGCTGAGTAAGTGGTCCTTCTACAGGGCGCTGATTGCGGAGTTCATCGCCACACTCCTCTTCCTCTACGTCACCGTCCTGACGGTCATAGGGTACAACCACCAGACGAACGCCGGCGACCAGTGTGACGGCGTCGGAATTCTCGGGATCGCCTGGGCCTTCGGCGGCATGATTTTCATCCTCGTTTACTGCACCGCCGGTATTTCCGGTGAGTTCCTCTTTCCCAACATATTATAATTCATAAAAATTCTGTGGAGCAATCGGAGTGTTTTCTTATGGAGCCATTCATTGCTTATTATGTTGACACATGTTTAAATTGTATTTATTGTAAGACACGTGTGAATACACTATTGATGAATAAGTGTAGATTGCTCTATAAGCCCAGCCATCCGATTACTCCATAGCAAAAACTGTTATAATTCATTTGTCTACTCTATGTACGTGGAGTATTAATTAATTAGGTTCGTTTGATGATTATATGTATGTGTATTTATATATTTAAATAGTTAAAGCTTAATATTATGTTGCTGTTAAATAAAACAAGCTCCGGAATATTAATATTTAAAGCTAGAATTGTGAAACAAAACAAGTTACTCGTGAATTCAGCTTAACATTCGCTACAGGTTGAGAATAAGAATTTTTTACGTGATACTTTGAATTTTCACCTTACCCGGTTCGTTTAGACTCAGAAATATATCTATTTTAAGACTGTTTATTTAACGAGTCGAGCTATAATATCACTAAGTTTGAGTTAGACTAATTTACACCTCTTAGCTATATACCAAAACACAAATATAATCAAGAGCAAAGAGTAGAAACTGTTAAATGACTAAAATATGTAATTGATTAACTAATTTTGTATTATTGAGAAATTTCGAGCATTTTGTGATCTATGCAACAGAAAGTCCTATGCCATGAAAACGTAGTATATAGACATGGCGGGCCTCCCATGGGTGACACTTGATCGGCCCGCCGAAAACACCGGGCCGGTCCGTGAAACCGGCCCAATCCCGGCTCTGTCCTAGCCCGGTCCCAGACCGCTGGAACAAAAAAAAAAAGGTACCCGGATACTACCCGTAAAGCCTTGGTGTCGGTTCCGAGCCTACAGGCCGGGACAACGGGTGCGGGCCGGCCCGAACCGTGACCATGTCTAGAAGTATAAGGGAAAAAAAAAAAGTAATTACTGTAATAAAAAATTCATGTTCGATGATGATGTGGCTGTCCATGTCATTAACCCCACTAGAAAGTTGATCAAGACTATTAAACTCTTAAAAGGAATTAATTATTTAAATGTCAAACTAAGATAATGTCAAATTTGCTAGTAAAATCAATTGCGGAAAATTTAAGTACTTAAATTACCCACCGTACCTTTTGCTACCACAGTTTTCACAACCATATTTTTTTATTTTTTTTTAAATTAATCCGTACCAAAAATATTTTGTTAAATTAATATTAATATGAATTGACAGGAGGGCACATAAACCCGGCGGTGACATTTGGGCTCTTCTTGGGCCGAAAAGTGTCGTTGATACGAGCAGTGCTGTATATGGTGGCCCAGTGCTTGGGCGCAATCTGCGGCGTGGGCTTCGTGAAGGCCTTCCAAAAGACGTACTACAACACTTACGGTGGTGGGGCCAACGTTCTGGCTCACGGCTATAACAAGGGCGTGGGCTTGGGCGCTGAGATTATCGGTACCTTTGTGTTGGTTTACACCGTTTTCTCCGCAACTGACCCAAAGAGGAGTGCAAGAGACTCCCACGTCCCTGTAAGTAATTAATATAAATTAATTTAAATTATTAAATTATATTAATTATTTAAATTGTTTAAAATAAAATAAATTTATTTATATTGCTTCATTTTTGAAAGCCTGATTAAAAGAAAAAAAATATTAAATAAGTAGAGCAGGTGGACTATAAATTATGTGCCGTTTAATTTCCAACATTTAATGTATTGCATTAATTTATTTGCGACTTCTGGTAATTCAATAATTGAACACCTAAAAAGTTGACCTACCTAGTTTTAATTAATGGAACACTTGTTAAACCATTGATTTTTAAAGGAAATATCAAAGCAACAATCGCCATTTATTTATTAAACCTGCCTTAATATTCGATCTTATCTTTAAGTTTAGGGAAATGCTACGGTCTCGTTATGAAATCATTTTACTGGGGTTTGTAACTGTTAGATAAACTATCCCGATGATTACATGATAGTCTAACGGTTACAAACTCGACGGAGTGGTTCCATAACGGGACCGTAACATTTTGCCGTATATAAATCCATTAATTATTATTATTATTATTTTTGTTTAAAATAAATGATGGTTTGGTCAATATTTAACTTTCAGTTTTTTTTGTTTTAAGTGATAATAAAGTAATGAAATCTTTATAATAATTAAAAAAATAAATAAAAATGAAGGTGTTGGCCCCACTTCCGATTGGGTTCGCGGTGTTTATGGTCCACCTGGCGACCATCCCAATCACCGGCACCGGCATAAACCCTGCCCGGAGTTTCGGGGCCGCCGTGATATACAACGAGGACAATGCCTGGGACGACCACTGGATTTTCTGGGTTGGTCCTTTCGTCGGAGCCGCCATAGCCGCCTTCTACCACCAGTACATCCTCAGGGCCGCCGCCATTAAAGCCCTCGGCTCCTTCCGAAGCACTGCCTGAGATAAATTAACAATTTCAGATATTGCTTTCCACTGTCAATCTCTTTTTTCTCTTCTCTTTTTATTTCCTTTATTTTTCCTTTTTTCCTTTTTTAAATATATATCACTGTATCTTTTTTTTTTTTTTTTTTTT